AAATACGACAAGTTACTGATAAATAGAAGATTTTTCTTTGTGAAAAATACTTTGATTTTTACGCAGTAACTTATCGGGGTAAACTTAAAAGTTTGCCCTTCTACACTTGTATAAAGTTCTCCATTCTAATTTTTATATTTTCCAGATTGTGGAAGGTAACAAATACCCAAAAAAGGTCGATGAAAATCTGATTTTTTCCTCCACAAAAATGACTTTCGTAGAATATTTAAAGAGAAGGTGTATATGCGGTGGAACGGCGTTGAAATCAGTCTTGTATTATCTATAGTATTATTCAGGAAAGCAGTTATTACATACAGGTATTTTCCATCAGATCCTACTCTGTAGAAACATTGAGAGATTAATGTTTCGAATTATGTATTTTCTTATTACATATGTATGTATAACTTCTTTCAAACACTAGTGCCACTCGTGTCGTATAAAAACCAGAAATGATAATACAATCGTATCTGATAGAAAATTCATATCTGAACGCACTGTACTTGTACCACAGATTAAATAAAATATATGTGCTTGTGCTAAAAAATATGACAAATGACAAGTGTGACAGAATGAAGACGAAACCGGGTAATGTTTGAAGTATTGGACTGTATTGTTGCAGTTTTCCATGATAAAATAGGTTCAAATAAACTATTGTGAAGTTGTCATTATTATAATGAATAATGATGAATTTTCGATAAGAATTACTTCAACTTTATACCTCTTGATCGGATACTTGAATTTTGACAACAGAAAGATCCTCTGAAAAATTGGGATTGAAGGAAGTTAGGAATCATTTCGTAGCTATATTCAATTGTATCCCTCTTATCCCTATTTTTTTGAAATATTTCGATTACATCAACTTATGTTATTTAAACTATGATCTTTGAGATTGACAGAATTGATCAGTTTTCTGTTTTTATCAATCAGAATCTTACTCGTATATTCACGAAATCTTTCTTGTCAATGTTAGACATTCGTCTTGTGTATAAAGATGGGATTCAACTGTCTATAAAGAATAATTACTGGCAGGCCTTTGGTTCTACTAGTTGCCTTGCAATGAAAATTGCAGAGAAACCTATTTTTCATTTGGTAGCCGATGCCAATGACGCTTGCTTTCGCAACAAACTGCCTGCCGTATTAATCCTTCTTTATCTTGGATAGGCAATGTTTGAGTTTTCTGTCGATCCCGTAGATGGTGTTGTTTAAGGATAGTTGTGCATTCTCAATTCTTACTTATGTTAATGACAATTGACAAAGTGATTATAAAATGCGTTCCCAAATTCACTGATGCACCAATCGAGTGTAGTCGTATTATTGTTTGATGGATTGTAGTTGTGACATCCATTACGTTTCTAAATTTGAGAGTCATTCCATCTGTGGGCCACATACCAATAGTTTATAGTTGATAGATTTGGTTTGGCTAACAACTGATATCTAAAAATCTTAAGGAATGGAAGGAATTCTTCATTTCTATCTAGCCTATGAAATAATATGTCTCACTCATTTGAATATTATTTGTTTCATTACATATTTTATTTGATTTTTATTTATTATCTCCCGACACATCCATATTTTACATTTAATTTCAAATTATATTGTCAGCTATCAGTTGTGTGAAATTTTGCGAAGCATTTTTCATCACTGTTAAACTCAAGTTTTTTCTGGCTTTCATTCATATTCGAGCGTTTATTCAAAAACGATTCGTAATTAAGTCATTAATAATAATATTCGCCAGAATGGAATGATTCAATTTGTGTCAGATGTCAAATTCAATAATAAAAACGGTAAATTTTCGTTTNCTCGAACAGAATAATTATTTCGCCGCTTTCTCTTTATCTTGATACAAAAAAATGTGGGAATCTTCCAAAGAAAGGAAGGAAGCAATCAATTCTGAAAGAAGTAACTCTATACATAGATGTGTAGATCATGCAAAGAAGTAACTTTCAGACACAAACTGGAAGAAAAAGCCCTCTTGAAACAGCTACTTTCATATAAACATTGAATTACACGAAAGAAAAAATTCTTTTGAAACAAATACTTCTATATGAACACTGAATTATACAAAAAACACTTTTCTCTACTCAGTTTGGATTCCAATTAGATTGTGATGTAACATCAGTAGAAATAATACTAAAATAATAATTGCAAACCAATGATAATGATACATTAGTATAAATAGATTCGAACAATTGAACATGGATTTGATTTTGTTTAATGGAATAGAGAAGCAAGTGTTCCAGACTACAATACAATATTCTAATGAGTCATATAGGCACAGTTCTTAGCAATTCACACAGTAAATGTAACTAAATATCATTACTTATTTTTAGTGGAAAATACTCAATGCAATTTGTCAGGAAATTGCACTGTTAGTCTCAATATAGTGTAAAAATAACACCATGTTTCAATTTTCATTGATTCAAAATCAATATTAGTTTGGAAAATTGTTTTCTGATCACAGCACCCCTTTCAATTTCTGTTTGTTTCTTTGAAACTTCATGAAATCTCAATTTGGTGTAGACTTGTATTATGACCTTGATAAGAATTGATTTATGGTTTTCTGAAAAAGTGACAGAAACTTGATAGCGATTATGCAGATCTGGAAACACATCCTTTTTGAAACGCATAAATGTCAAGTAACATTGAAGATTGAATTTCTGGAAAAAAAATTGTGATTTGGTAATTTATTATCTGTTGTTGGTACAAATATTTTGATCTATAATTCTACAAAACGTATAACTGAAACAACATCATCGGATGGTTTGATCAATCCGCCCCTGTTTTTCCTACTTATCAATAACTGAGTAAAATCTATACAACATCTTTTGTCGTATTCACAACAACCTCCACTGCTGATAAACATTTTGCACATTTAATGACAGTTTGGATTTTTTTGATTACAAAACCAGCTACGTAAACCAAAACATTTTCAGTAATTATATCAAAAAAGGAACCAGTGTGAAGGTGGCCATGTGTTTTCATCCATGTGTTTGGTGAAAGAGAGGCGAGCGCGCTATTCCGCCATAGGTCGTTTCACCGCAATTATTCACATGGCTAGCCATGGAAATTTTTACATTGATAGACTCATTGCTGGAAACGAACTTCTGCGCATTGCGTAGACACGTTTTCATAAATTAAATTGGGATGAATTTTTCGAATATCTGGGATATGACCATTAGCAGTCTAGTTATAGGTTATGTCGGTGAAAAAACCGATGAAATTCCCCATATATCGATATCATCATTAACAGCTGAACCACTGACTGAAACGTATTTACTCCAAGAAGTTGCCACATCTCATTAATGTCTGCACGACAAACACTAGCAAAATAATTAAAATGATCGAATTGTGTAAACGTAATAGATTGTTTTCAGTATAGTAACGTAATAAAAATACTAAATAGTAATAGATTTATTACAAAGTAAATGCTTGAGGATAGTAAAAATAGGAAACTGCCAATGGGCAAAGCTTCTGTCACAAACGAGAAGAAGAAAATGACAAGTGGGCACTTTTGGGTACTATTGTCACTCTAATTTGGGCACAATTGAACATTCCTATATAACAACACTATTTTTAACGACATACCATACTATTACTTCTCACTTCCTGTCATTCAGCTACATTTTGACTTTTGAGTTGAGTTTGATTAGCTTTTATTGCTCAAGTATGGATCAGATTTCTATGCCCATCCATCCAACATGAAGACATCAATGAACGGAAGCAAATAGCAAATGCGTTCATGAGTTCTATATAGACTGAATTTGATACTAATAATCACGTTGGTTGCCAAATGTCTTCGATTTGTTGGCGGGTTTAGATAAAATCCGTGAGAAAATACAAAGTATTTTGGGGGTGTCACTATTTTGCAGGTCTGCGGTTTAGCAAATTGTTCTCAGAGAACATTACTTTTGTAACCCTGTAGGAAGGTTGAAATTTTTGCCGGTCGGGTCTCTCAGATAAGAAACTCGATCATATTAATCATTTCCGATAGAAAACAAATCCAACATCCAACAACAAATGCATTGAATAAACCTTGTATAGGTCAGAAAAAATTCTTGCCGTTCATGCCTCCCAGATAAAGATCTCGAACAGAATAATTATTTCGCCCACTTTTCGTGTATGCAAAATTTGCAGGTTGGCATACATTCTTGCAGGTCGGGCCTCTCAGAGGAAAAACATTAATCATTTTCAACCCAAAAAAAAAAAAATTCAACCCCCTCTTTTGAGAAAAAATTCAAATTTCTCATAACATTGATAGAAAACCTTGAAGGTCGACTGAATTTCCTTCAAGTCCAGATGAGAATCTCAACTAGATTATTTATTTTTAAAAAAAAACTTCCCAACCCCTACAATAAGTGTATAAAAAGTTTCGCATTTCTCATAAAATTGAAAATAAACCTTGGAGAAGTTCATCCGGGCTGAACGTCCCAAATGACAATCTCGACCAGATTGATCATTTTTGCCAAAGAAGTTGCAAGACTTATTCTTTGGAAATGGAAATATTTCACATTTTACACAAAATGGAAAATAAACTTTGAAAGTCGGCAGAAATTCTTGCAGCTTGAGCCTCCCAGNTTCATTGCACTATCGAATGTTTTTTACTGGAAGTACCT